GAAAGAAGAGTCTCATACATAAATAAATGATAAATAAATGTGGTGACTCATACATTGGGGTATGTGAAGTTGGCCTATCCAAAAAAACCTACCCACAATTATTAATTCCATTTGTTAGTTCCGTGTTAGTTCTTCATAGTTCCGTTAAAATTTGCATTTGTTAGTTAGTTCGTTCGTTAGACGGAATTATTGGGAACTAACTTGTAACTAACTATTGACACTGTTTGAAATCCAATTTAGGGCATGGATATGCTAGCGTAAAGTTAGCCCACCCCAAGGCCACACACGTGGATTGTGCCGGTTACATAGTGTAACATGTTAACTAAAAAAAATCAAATAAAAATAAAAAATTATTAAATTAGGGCCTACGTTAAATTGAAATTTTTTGATATGATGTTTAGTTTAAGTATTTAATGTATTAAATTAAAGAAACGTCCTAGGTACAACACTTTAAAAATATATATTTACACTAAAAATAAAAAAATAAAAATATACATGAAATTGGTAAAAGTTTATCGCTTTCGAATGGTCACACCAAATGATCACACAGTCAATTAATAAACTGTCATCATCAACAGTGAACTTGGTAACATCACTAAAACTTATCGTTTTCTCCATATTTCCAATGTAAACAATGGCCCAGTTCGGCAGCGTGGTTCGCAACTGACTGCTCTCGAGGCAGTGGTCCCAATCACGCTGCGCGCTGCGCACTGCGCAGCTGGCGGTTAGGCGCGCACATCGAGGTAGACTTCAAAGAAGTCTACCTCGATGGTCGCGCACCGCGCCGCTAGGAAAACAGTCTCATTAGTTTAAAAGGGATCGGTCGTTCCGGCAACCGCGGAGCACGAAGCACGCAGCGTAAAGGCTTGATCGCGTCGCTAGGAAAACGCCGCTTACCGGACCGTCGATCCGGGCTGGCCCAAAAAGCAAGTTCACATTAGCCGCCCGGACCCGGGACCCGTTTCCAGGCTGGAATCTTGTGACTTATGGGTGTGTTTGTGATTGAAATGACTAAAAGAGAAGTGGTTATGCTTTACTTGTTGTGCCCGAAATGAAAGTACATTACTCCCACGATAAATATGTTATTTTTGGGTCGAAGATGTGTGTAAAAGTGCCGATTGAGTGTTATGCATATCTTTGTACGGTGACGACAGGAGAGCGTACACTTGTGTATAATGTCCATGGCAATCTGATGTTAACCCTAAGCATACCTTTCGCCGTTCTTTCGTCACTACAACCTAACTATGGCATGCTTTCACAACTTTTCGAATTCATCTCTATAGGAATAACGATTTTTTCATAGGTAGCACGATGGTATTACTATCTGGGGCTATTGTTTGGCCCCAGGAGAAAAAAAGTGATACTGTAGTTCAAATTTTGACTTATTACTTATGCATGTATAAAACTTATGAGGTTTTAATGGTTTTAGCTACAGTAAAACAACTCTTCATTGCCTTCACTATATAGGCTAACCTAAGGACTCGTTTTGCCTAATGTTATTTAAATGGTATATAAATCTTAAATGTCCAATGAAATATTTTTGTAACAATTTACTCAGACAAATGGAAAATGGTTGTTTGCTGTGGCAGGGATATTGATCTACCACTGACCTTCAAACCAAGCCAAAATGTGCATTGATCGTGTCAATTAATATCTTAGAACAAAAACTAAAAATAAACAATAAACAATGCTAGTATAGAACAATTAGACCAACCAACACTAATCTATGATATAACATTGGCTCTTTGCTTTCACACTTGCGTCCCGTGCTTATCACCCGGGTGCAACAAGGCCCCACTAGTGGGGGCCTAGTGAAGGCCTTGCAATAGGCCTTTATTGCACTAGTGGGGGCCTTGGAGTAAATCAGTAGTTTTGCCTGACTGTGTCTGATACAGGGGCTGAGTATTCTCTCATACAAAAAATGTTTATAGGCTTTGTTTGGTAAAAATAAAGAATTGGAGACGAAATTGTGTTTCTATTATTTTAGGGTTAGTTTTTGCTTTACTGTTTGGTTAAATAACTAGAGGACGAGTTATTGGCTATGATTAGATCGTTTTGTTTGTAAACACGATTTTAAATCACCAAAATAACAGTAAACGAATTATTGTAAACAAAACACGACCTCTGTCCTCTACAGTGCACCGGATGGAACTTACAATAGAAATGTATTCAGCCATAAGGTGATCCAGAAGGATGAGAAATCTACTAAGGGAGTATGTTTTGGTATTATAGCTATCCATTCCGGGCTCTCATTGGAAATTAGGTTAGTCCCCAGTCCACACTAATAATGTGAAAAATCCTATATGATTCAATTTAATGTAAAAGGAAGTTTCGTCCGATACTTTTAATACTTTAATACATTTCATTATAATGGTGACCATACAAAGATGGTACCTATTTTAAGCCAAGTACGAAATGGAGTGGAGATGAGTGTAGGATGAGTGGCGCGATATTGTAGTCTTGTTAGTGACTATAAGGTTGACATATTCCTTAGACACAGCTCTGTTAATTAATAGCCCATACAGCTAATGGCAACTAATGGACCTACAATTTATAGTGGAATCCGAACCACACTTTGCCTTGGTATATACGAATTGGTCTAATTATCAGGATAGTTCTGCGGATATAGTCGTAGTACTCACTAGTGCGGACGTTAATCCACACCAAGAGTATCGCATCCACAGTGCATACAATATATAAAATTATCGTGTGGTCTCATACCTTATAATGGCATAGCTTTTAATCAGGAATTTGTTCCACAGCTTATAATCCTGAAAATGTAGCATAGCTTATAATCAGTTATAAGCTAGCCTATATGTCACACTTTCACGAAAACATTAAAAGGTGTGAAACATTTTAAGTTTCACAACTTATAATGATCAAATAGTGGCGCAGCTTATAATTCAGATTTTTTTCTATAGCTTATAATCCTATTTTTAGTCATAGTTTATAATTCTGATTTTGTGGCATAGCTTATAATTGAGGAGAATGCTGCATTGTGATTGTGGGAATGGCAACTGCCACTATCTTCAGTCAGGTATACCAGATATACGATTGGATAGGATAATGGTATTGTTCTGAACTATGACATGGTATTATAAAATAAACATTGAAATGGGGTTGAATAAAATAGGTAAAATGTTGATTTTTATTATCTAAGTTAATTACTTCATGCTGTTGAATCATTGGAGTTATTTTCTTCTGTATGTCTTTATGTAAGTTACTTTTAGCGAATTTCCCATATGGGGAATAAGCTATTACCGTAGTACTCATGGTAAGACCTGGACCCGGGACAGATTTTTTTTCATTTTGAGGTCCCTAGAGGCCAAAAACACCATCCGTTCAAATTCATATATATATATGAATATATATATATATTCATATATATATATTCTTCGTTATATATGTCCGTTAGCACGATAACTCGAGCAAAAATGATCCGATTTTGATGAAATTTGGTACAAACGTGTAAACCTACGTTTATTCGAACGAGTTCGCGATCCAGCATGATCGGGCCATGGGAACGGGGGTTTATGGGGGGTTTTATGGGGTAAAAATAGGTTTTTCCCATTTTTGACCCAAAAAACATAAAATTTAGCAATTTCTTTCCAAACCATTTTGTAGAGCTTAAAAAAACAAATAATTTAGTACATTGAAGCGTTATTATGCGCCTAATGGTTAAGGAGAAAATTCCAAAAAATTGTAAATTTAAAATTCCCATGTAATTCTTATGGAGAATAAGTAAATTGGTAGGCCTAGTTTGCTTGTTTATGAACATATTTTGATCAAATTTGGAAATTTTTTTTTATTTCTTACTAACTATTAACATTTTACCAAAAAAACAGTTTTACCCTCCCTGATGCAGCAAACCTAAGTACTAGTTAAACTAATTCTATTTAAATAGAGAATAAATTGTTATATTTTTAAGTAGACATTTCAGTGTAAATCCAATCAGTCAAATGGAAATTCGCTTAGTCTGCAGGTTTGCTGCGGCGGGGGTATTTTAAGTTATGTAGTAATCGAATAACAAGGTCTAGGAGTAGGATTACAGTAATCCTACTCATAGACCTTGTTATTCAAATTCACAATATGCAGTAATACTTACTTAAATGTTAGCTTAATTTGAATTTAGCCTAGGTACTTAATGTACGAATTTACCTGAGATAGACATAAAGTTAAATAGCTAATAATAAAATATAAATTCTTTGGCCGTCAGGAGTGTGAATTACGTTTGGTTTTGTCAGGTAGCTGTTCCATCCGCGATGACGTTATTCCCGCTCCTTATAAGTTATGCAAAAATTTAAATTTCCCATTATAAGCTATGCCACATTTTCACGATTATAAGTTATGGAACATATTCGCAATTATTATAAGCTAAAGCACGGGTCACACTAGGCTGTTCGCCAGCCGCTGGTGACCAGCAGCTGGCACCAGCATCACCGGCTCACCAATCCAGGCTGTGTCAGCTCAGTGTCAGCTGCGAATTTTGTGGTCACATTAAGCTGACAGTCGCGGCTTCTTTCAATTCGCCGCTGATGCCAGCCTAGTGTGACCCGTGCTTAAGGCCATGGTGGAAGGAAAAAACATAGGTGTGCTATTCCCACATATTCTGACGTCACTCGGATTGCAAACAAAAGATCATCTGATTGTAACTGTCAAATTAGTATGTATTTGTTTTTATTTGGTTGTTATTGTTTTTATAATAATAAAAACAATAACAACCAAATCAAAACAAATACATAATATACTAATTTGACAGTTACAATCAGGTGATCTTTTGTTTGCAATCCGAGTGACGTCAGAATATGTGGGAATAGCACACCTATGTTTTTTCCTTCCACCATGGCTTAAGGCATGACATCTTACCAAAAATATCTATTTTTGTCGTGCCAGCTAAACACTAGTCTTCTTCTCCTTCCCTGTACGTTCAAAGCACGTTTTGTTGTTGTTTCGTTTCGCGGTGCCGGTGGTTCATTCTTCTTCTTCGTGATAGAAGATAGAAGTTTGCAAAGCCGGCAGCATTATTTTTAATTACTGTTTGTGTTTCGCTCATTTAGTCTTAACCCATTCGTTTTTTTGGTCAAATAATAATTCACTAGTAACAGCTTTTTGGATACCAAACCTACCACAGAAAACTATTTTGGTAAGATTTTGTCTGTAATTGTGTCCTATTCTTTGGTAGTGAGAGACATAACCTTTAAGACCGAAGTCAGACTTGTCTATCATATTTTGCATATAGCTTACATTATTGGTTTGTTTATAGGTGTTTGGTTGATTTGTTGATTATATTTCATTTCATGAATACTAGGCTACTTAAAATATTTGAAAGAGGCGCTGTACTCAACAAATTAAGTCCAGTAAATTTATTCCCACACAGGCTAACCTTTGCTTGAGACTAAATTAAGAGTTAATTAAACACTGGATCCTAATACAGTACCCTTGAGAGAGAAGAGTCTTTATTGTACAATATTTAAGGTTGGATTTAAACAAATATGTAAGAAATGATGATCTTGCTTTACAATTCAAAATTCTTGAAGCCTTGAACTCACTCATATTATAAAATGGATGCTGAAGAAGCCATTCGAAAAGTCTTCTCTTTAACATCTTAGGAGAGGTTCTCTTTGATTCGTTAGGTCCTCAAAACTTGACTTATTAATTTTCAATATTCTAGCCAGAGCCTACCTTTGTTATGTTGACATAAAATTGTATGCCGTTTAATTTGTCTCAATCTGCTATTTCATTAGGCCTAACTTATGTGTTTTCTTTGGTAGGCCTAGGTTTAAGTTAGCGGGCATTGAAATTTTCTTTTAAAAAGACTTTTATGTGCTAGGCGCACACAGGCGACTTGTCTAGCAGCAGTTAGAAGACCAAAATGTTTAACATTGTTTTAAATTGGAGTGCGCACACCAAGGAAACAGTCGAGGGACAGCCGCGCAACTATTGCAACTGTTGTTCCTGGACCCAAATGTTGAGGGGACCCAATTTTCCAGAGACAGCTCCGCGACTCACAATGTCGTGGGACTGTGGTTCCAGGCTTGGTATCCATTGATATAAGTCTAGATGCTTAGGCCTACACATACAGCTAAGTTTATAGTGTCCCTCAGTCTCAGTCGGCTATTCGTGGGAACTGTCACTTGTGTTTGCTCTCTTAATTAATTGTTGTGTAAAGTTTGTTAAAAAAAGTACTTTTTTAGTATGAGTGTGCATGTTGAGGACATTGAACAATTACCGTAGGTACTCAATTGATGAAGTTGAAAATAGGCCGCCTTTACATTTAAAGGCATTGACAGACTAGGCTTATTCTGTTGTTAATTTTCAGAAGAAGTTGTGTGAGGAGATATCCTTAGAAGTTACAAAAGATTAGAACAATCTAATTCTCTTCTTTTTTTGCACACAAATTTTCAATAACAGAGTATATGCTATTGTTGTATCATTGAAATCCATAACTTACTGTAATGTCCGTCTCAAACAGTTGCCTGTGTGCGCACTCCTGCGCAACTGTTGCTAGACTTAAAGTCCCTTGTGTGCGCCTGGCTTTAGCCTTAGGAGGATCTAGGCTTCTTACCTCTAGAAGTAGGCTAAATTAGAATTTGGCACTTAGTAAGTAAGGCCTGTACTATTTATGTGGAAAAATTTTAATTTTTTTAAACTAAGGCCCACTGCTTGGATAGTGGTTGATCTATTCTTGTTGGTTACACTCTTTTGCTGCACTTTTTGGTAATTATGTTTGAAGTAAATATTACCCTCACAACCCACAATTAGAAAGGTAAATACGTTAATTTAAGAAGGCTAAATGAAATATTTGATTTAAATGTAATTAAGATTAATAAACACCTCTAGGTCGGACACATTTAATCTGGACTGGATTGGATTATGAAAAATGAAGAATGAATTCATTTTGTTCTTCGCATTTTACTTCCCCGAGTGGCTTAGCTTAGGTTTTGACCATGTAACCATTAGGTCCAATTATGATAATAGTGTAGTGGCAGTTTTAATGAAATGAATAAACAACAAATTAACACTAATAAGCTAATCTAACATAACCCAACCAAACTCAAACGGCTTAAAATTTATTTATAAGAACTGATTAGTATTGCCAAACGGCTAAATCATTTTCCAAAATAAACTTATCACACACTTTTTAAAAAAAGTTCTATATTTCGGCATTTAGCCTTCTTCAGGAACAAACAAACAATAACAAATAGAAGTGTTTACACTCTGAATTAGATGGTTTTAGTAAAAATCCAAAATACATATAATTTATAAAGAAGTAAAAAAGAAAATGTTGATAGAAAGAAAGAAAGAAAATATGTTTTATATACTATATCATATTTAGACCGGAAGGTGTTTTAGATTTAAGTATTAATTGATGAGCAGCTCAAGCTGTCTTAATTTTAAGTCTGATGCGTCTTTTGCCAATTTTCTTATTCTTTTTAATGAACATTGTTGAAAATTTTGAGAATGCTCTCTCGCATGAATAGCCACAGGTTTTTGTTTATCAGGATGGTTTACGGTACATCATATCTGTGGCCATTCATACGAACTCTAAGAGCATTTGTGGTTTTGCCAAAATGTAGTCTTTAGGACAATTTTTGCAGGAAATTTGGTCAATTACCTACATTAGTAGAGTCACAAGTGATGTTACTATTTATGTTGTAAGATATTTTGGTTTGGCTGCTTGTGAAAGTTTTTGATGGGATGATTAATTTGCAAGTGGCTCATCGTGGTTTGTTGCATTGATTACAGCCCGAAGGTTTTGCTGATGGTTGGGAAGTGGGAGGTAGTTAAGGGTTTTGAAAGAATGTCTTTTAAGTTTGGAGCTTTTTTTTGTATATTTTTTAGTCTTGGGGGTTTGGAAAACAAATTATGGGTCAGAGGTGAATTTGAAAGAATATTATGTTCCACTCTTAAAACCTTATTAACTTTGTAAAGGCCAGGAAAGTATTGAGTGATTTAAATATTTAAATTACTAATTTTTAATAGACACCTAAAAATCTAATAAAACAGTCAAATAAAAAGAAAATACTAACACAGATAATTTCAAAAAAGATCCTAAATTCATCACCCAATACTTTTATGGACAGCTAGTGATATATAAATTATTATGGTTCTCTTGATCACCTTCTCCGACACAATTTCCCACATTTTTTTATGTCTCTTCACAATAGTGTCAACAAAATCAGTACAGTAGGCCTGTATGTAAATTAAGTTATTTTATTTAATGCTTTTTATTACAGTCTTTAACTTATGCCCACTTAATCTGTGAATCTCAACCAAATCTTTCAGAAACAACCTCAAGTGACCAAAGTTTACGAATCCACAAGCAATAAAATGGTTCAGATACCAGTACCTACCAGTTATTAAACATGATGAAGCTGTTTGTGGGCAGGGCCTGATTACCCATTAGGCTAATTAGGCTGGAGCCTAGAGCGCCAGTCAGCCAAGTGTTTTAGGGGGGCGCCAGACAGCTAAGACTTAAAGTTGGGACCGGGGGCGTAAAACATGTTTTATTCCAAAAAAGGATTCGCGCAGATAGGGAAGGAGGTGGGAAAGGGTGCGTTCGGCAGATTTTCATAATCATTATATCCATATATAAATAACCCTTTCAGACCCGGGAATCTTAGTCATCTCGACCGCTTAAAGTCCTGAGCAAATTTTGAATAAATGTGGGTTTTTAACCTAGATTTCAAATACTAAAATTATTGATTAGGTTTGTTTGAATACAAAACCTTCATAATACCATATTAACCATTTCAGTTTCAGCAATAATTAGTATTAGGCTATATACGTTTAAAAACATAAATAAAACAGTAAAACAGTCATTAACCGTAACAGTTGCCTCTTTCTCCTATCTTACCGTGACATTGCAACAAAACAACCAGTGTTACCATAAGACATGAAGGCAGACTGCTAAACAAAAATTCCCAGCTGATCTCCATAACCTACACAATCGATGCGTACAGGTCTGAGCAACAGAAAGATCCAGAAACTTCAAAAAAACAAATAAACATCTAACCTACACAATCGTGTTGGTTAGGTGGTCTGGACTTAAAAAATTACCTACACAAATGAGTGTGCTGGGTGCCAAAAGTACCCATGAACTTTTGAGAAAACTACAAGTCAGTTTTCTTTTGTTTTTAAATAAACTGAATACTAGTATAATGCCTTTGGCCATTTTTAATTTTGAATTCAGTATTATTATTCGTTCTTTGAAGTTTTGAAAGTGGTAGCGGAGAGGAGGGGAAATGGAAGGGAGGAGGGGGTGCGAAAAACGTCAGCCTACTGGCGACTAGACCCTTAATCAGGCCCTGTTTGTGGGTTTTAGGAGTTAGAACAGTCGTTGGATGTACTAGAGATAATAAGTGTTTACAAAAATACTGTAATAATCAATATTTAAGGGTGTGCCAATAATGAATTTACTATTCGAGTCGAGTCAAGTTTGCAAAGAACTCCTAGACCTTTGAGCTTTTCCGAATCCAGCAATTTCAAAGTGAAGTATACATTATTGATTCAAAATATGAAAATGAAGCTTGGTTCTCAAAACGATTTAGTTGATCTAATTTACATACGGTACCGGTAGGTGTATTATTTTACAAAATTCAATGTCCAAGGCATAATGCCAAATGATAAATAATATTTTTTAACACAGTAGTATTTTTTCACAGTGAATTGGATTTTCCGCCCTCGCTCGTCAAAATTACTCTTTGTTTTAAGCAACCTTGTTTTGAGAGCAGTTTGGCTTAACCAAAGTTTTTTTAGCAGTTTGGGCATTTCCGCTCCCACACTGGACGATAGGAACAACACGCCAAATTTTACAAGATGTTACTGTATCAATAAATCATCCCATCCTGTCTTGTTACAAATTGATTGCTTGGACTTTTATCTTCGACAACACGTTCTGTACTGTTATTTTAAGGTTAGTCATAGTTAAGGCCTGTTTTGCCAAAAGCGGCTGGTACGTCTTAACGCTCAGCGATGATCACTCCGTGTCAATCGCTGCCCACTGCTTAGCATTGTTTCAGGTTAGTCTATTTTGCCAGAAGTGTCTATCACTACAGCCGCCAGCGTATGTAACTGAGCCACTAGCGTCATTAGAAGAAGAACATGTGTTTTGTTGTTGACTGTTCTATTTTTTTTAAGTAGGCCTAGGCCTAGTGTTTTTGACCCAGTTTCTAAGTTTAGTGACATGTTACAATCAAAGTGGGGATTTAAGTGAAGAAGATGATAAATTTATTGAAGCCATTTTAGCATACCCCACTTTTCTAGATAAAGGAAGTGATTTTCTATTAATAATATAATATTGCTCTTCAGGTCTCTTTAAAAACATAGAATGTACTTCTTCCTTGGCTTCGTACATTTCTAAAATCTCTTCATCGTCGAATTTCTCAGCTAAGAAATACTTCACTATTTGCTTCTTACAGCTCATATCATATACAGCACTACTCTCGCCACCTAAGAAAACCACTCGCTGAACAAATAATCGCAAGTACCGGACGCTTCTGGCAAAATAGCCCCGAGCGATAGACGCTTAGTAGAGCGATCATTGCTAAACGTCAGATTTACCAGCCGCTTCTGGCAAAACAGGCCTTTAGGCTGTAGAAATGTCTGTGACTTGTAGGATTATGTGTTGCCTAACCTTACCACAGTCCTTATTTTACTTCTCACACTTATTTATTTCAATAGGCTAACAAAACTCCACTCTAATATATATATAACTCAAGAAGCATACTCAAAAGATTTTAGAACCATCCAACAAAATTGGGCATTTAATGAATTTGAAAGACTTCTCTAAGACAAAACTACTATATCCCCTGCTGAGGAAAGTATTATACTGACAGTGTAATACCGTGTTACATACTGCCATCCAAATCAAATGTGTAAACAATAAATTTTACTCTGTGTCATTCTAAAAAAATTAGTTATAGGCAGTGCTTGATGTGCGGCGGTAGGCTACCTCTCTTTTGGAAAGATAAAAATATTGGCATTAGAAAACATAAAAACAATTACTATTTTTTTTTTGTCCGTGAGCCAAATAAATATGATTTTGATCATGGACATGTTGTGTTCAACAGAAACTAACAGTCGCTGGCCTATTGTATTTAAACTTAATGGATCTCCTCTGGTTTGACCCAGAAAAGTAAGCGGACTCCTGACTGGTTTCTGGACACGGCTCAGCGCTAGCTGTCGACAGTAAAGAGAGATCGAGAGAAAAGGAATGTGACAAAAATATGTTGAAGTTCTGGAACATATTCTGAGAAATACTTGAATTAACCTAGTAATACTGTATTTTGTTTAAAACCTAATGCTTTTTATTACGTTCATAAACAAGTTACAAGTTTGACTTAATTGAAATGTTTCTTTTTTCCTAATACTCAACACAGGTAAACAATTTTTGAGGGGGGGGGGTCATAATTGCCTGTAGGTTACTGTCATTTTTTTAAATCAAGCACTGGATAAAGGCTAGGGTATTTATTGAATTTAGGTCTATTAAACTGAACAAACCTATATTTAATAAAGGAGCTTCTTCATCAAAATCAATTTGGATATATGTACCAGTACTGCTGGTAATCAAACTTACAAATACTTTTGTTTCAGTATTTGAACACTGTGTCTTACAAAACATCAAGATGGCGACTACTATGCCCATAAACCCAAAGCCGTTCCTCAACAGCCTAACAGGGAAATCTGTAATTGTGAAGTTGAAGTGGGGCCAGGAATACCGAGGGTTCTTGGTGTCGGTAGACAGCTATATGAATCTCCAAATGGCCAGCACAGAAGAGTGGGTGGATGGCAAACAGACAGGCGAGCTGGGAGAAATACTGATCCGATGCAACAATGTATTATACATTCGAGGTGCTGAGGAGGACGATGAGGAAGGAGAGATGAGAGAATAAACAGTGTGCATTAGCAAACAGACTGAAGTCTCTGACTTTCCATTCCAATGAAACTTGAGTGTGTGAAAAGTATTTTGTGTACATTTGTTTTGTTTCAACATTCAACCATCATGTTGAAAATTACTTAATATTTAAATAAATGATTTTTTAGTAAGTTTTATAGTAGTTGTCATACAAATAGTTTAAGAAAGGAACAATCAGAGGGTTTATAAGGGGTATTATCTTTTTGAACATAAACTATTCTATTCAGCATCTTCAATTACAGGTTTTGTCACAGTAGTATTGGTACAGGTTTTATGATTGGTGGAGGGGCCAGCAATAGTTCTGCTGTCTCAACAGGTTCAGTACCGGCCGTCACACTCCTCTGTATGTAGAGTCTCCAGACAAGCGGGAGTGAGTGTGTTAACAAGTACCATACCCAACAATAAAAACTATTAAAACCATGTACCCATTGTAAGAGTGCTCTGATTGTTCCTTCCCTGCAAAAACTTAATTCTACACACATTTAGAGTTAACTTAATTCCATCCACGCTAAATATGCATAATTTTAATAAAACCATAACTGTTTGAATGTTTTATTTTGCATATTATTAACTATACTTAAAACCGACTATGCGAATTTCAATTTGTCCTGTTTGTTTTTTACTAAAATATTTCCATTAACTAGTTATATTTATTCCCTTTTAAAATACGGTAACATTATATTTAATAAGTACTGCTAGTAAGGTTACTAAGATTTCCTGCTACAGGAAAGGGAAATAGTATATAATATTTCATCACTAGGGTGTAAAGTAACTCTTTTAGACCTGAGCACAAGTTTCACAAAATAAGCGAAGGTTGAAAAAACATGGAAGAATAGGTAAGTTAACTCTAAACTGTTAACTTTCACTAAACTATTAAAATTTTACAAAAACACTTTTTTACCTTCCCTGTTGCAGCAAACCTAAGTACTTATTAAACTAATGCTTTTTAAATAGGGAATAAATGTGATATTTTAAAGGATATATTTTAGTGTAAATCCAATCAGGCAAATGGAAATTTGCTTAGTCTGTAGGTTTGCTGCAGCGGGGGTATTAATTGTAGTTTAATCGCTGTATGGTTTTTAATCTGTGCAATAAAGGATGGTAACTTTTGTGATCATTGGCGAAGCCACTACAGATAATTATTTGCAAAACCGTAAAACAACTATTAAGAAAAATGAATAATTTCCCCCTAAATTTCATGCCCAGACCTTTAAAATTAGACCTCTCCCAGCTTTCTACGGCCTCCTGTTTGCTCACAATTTCATAGTAAAATTTTGGTCTTAAGGAATTAGATATATAGATGTTATGGTCCTTAAAATGTTGAACAAACTGGTACAGATCCCATTTCCGTAAAAATAGCTTATTCCCTATAGGCTATGGGAAATTCGCTAAAAGTACGTTTCAAAAGTTATTGTAACATATGTTATTTCCCATAAAATAACAAAATATCAGATTTTAGGATAAAAGCCGTTTTGATTAAAATTATTGTGTTATGGTCCTTAATAGTTTAAACAAAAGTAGTGCAACTGTGCAATTGTGATTGCTGTAACAATTACGGTTCAAAAGATATTGCAACTTTTCTGATTTATCCTTATAGAATATCATATTTATTCCCACCGCTTACCCATGATAAAGGTTGTTTCAAGCTTGTGGGAGAAAGTATGTGTCAGTTTGCTGATACAGTTTATTTTAGCTTGTTAAGGTCCAATTCCTATGTGGCGACTGAAGAGCCGCGCGTTTAGAGCCGTACGGCCCGCGACTATCCAAGTAGCACACATCGTTGGCCCAACGTCGGGAAATAGTCGGCACGGTTGGGAAATGCTTGGCAGAAATTTTAACGATTTGCCAACGTTGGCCCAACAGAAACTTGTATTTGTTGGCCCTACAAAGGAAAGAATCGTTGGGTTTAAGTATAAAACATTCTAAAACACATTTTAACAAATTTATTTATTTATTTAAAAGAACATAAATGTGATGGCAGCAGAATATAAGACAATATTGGAGAAATTGGATCTATAATAAATAATGTAGTTGATCTATAATAAATAATGTAGTCAGATGATGTGATACTAGATACAGTGGGGAACACCTGCTTAACATAATAATTGTAATACAGTAATGCAAATTTTTTTATATTTTATTAATATTAAAACAAATTCTTTAACTTTTTGAGCAAATTTGTTATAGTTTAAGGGGAAAGATTAATTAATCACATAACAATCAATTATAACTATATATTATTGTATTATTGAAGTAGAGCGAGTAATACAATACAAACGTTTACAATAACAACATAAGGTCTGGCTAAGATTTGGTATAATCTTATTGCTTGAACTTATCATAGCCAAGACATTATAGTTCCTACTAAATATTTTGATTTTGAAATATGTCGATCTGTCAGTTTCAGAAGTAACAACTTCTTGCATGCATTCATTTGATCTAACATTTGGCAAGTTTACCACCGTAACAATACTATGTGCTTCGTATATTTTTTCACTTCTAAAGTAAGTTGCATAACAGAACTGGCAAATATCTATATTACTTATTTAATACGCAAGCAGGTTTTTTGTGGCAATTACTCCTCCGAAACTACTGAACCGATTGACATGTTTTTGGTGTCATTGGAAAGAGCGTAACGTAAAGGTGTGCAGGAAACTTTTTTTAACTCTTAAACTCTTTTTAGGTAAATAATTAGAGAGTGAGGCCCTGGGGCCCTTTAAAGTTCTGTATTTTTCCATAAGATTAACATGGGAAACAAACATTATTATAAAACTCCAGCTGTTGTCAGAAATTAAAAGTGAGAAGAACATGTTAATTGTAAACAAACAATGTTTAAATTTAATGTGGCTGTTAGTGGGAAACATTTTTTTAAAACACTAAAAACGAGATCAGCTTTTGAAAAATGGTAAGATATTGAGTAGTTTAAGTTGACAATTTTAAACTCGTCGATAATATTACCGTCAATTTTTTTCAAGCAACTCCTCTGTAATACTTAGCAATTGCTCGATTTCGAGCAACACGTACACTAGTTATTATTAATCTCACCAAGTGAATGGGTATCTTCTGTTAGACCCTGACCAGGCCTTTCTTTTTCTACTCTCCTCATAGCATAAAGATATCTTATTATTAATTGTCTCCTCCTCACTCTCCTCCTCCCCTTTTTCAATATTTCTTCTTTGAACTTGAGGCATTTTTTTTTCTAAAAAAACTGATTAATTGTATAACAACTTGGTTTAAACCTACTGAATATTACAAACATTAATATTTACTCCCAAAAAGCTAATGAGTTTCTTTTTTATAAACAGCTGTTTTTTTGTTTTTAAATTTGTTCCATGTATTTCTTATGGGGCAAACCCGACCTTTGAGAGGGTCTCACGCCCTTAATTATTTTGTTATAGTAAAAATGTTAGTGAAGTAGTATACAACACAAAGTGAAAATTAGATAAAATCTTTTGAACAAACAATTTGCATTATTCAATTCTCTCTACCTAGTCCTAGTAGGCTACCTTTGCTATATAGATATCATTGTAGTAGCATTCACTATTTAACATAGTCAATGGTAGTAGTAGAGTAGTATAGTAAGTTAAATTCACGTCAAGTCAACAAAATAACACTAAAGCCCCCCACACACTACCAGACCAGACCTACAGACCAGACCGTCTGGTCTGGCGTCTGGCACTTGTCTTATCGTGTGTGGGGCTGTCTGCAGACCGATTTTCTCGGACCAGACTGTCTGCGTGTCTGATGGTTGAACCCTCAGACCACAGACGGTCTGAGGTTCCCCCACCACATTTTTGTCTGGTCTGTGAGTGTGTAGCGCTGTCTGTCAGACGGCCGACCATCGTGACAATCTTCATCCATTTGTTGGAGTTCTCACCACGGTCTCTCAATTACGAATGTTAGACCGTCTGGTCTGGGAGTGTGTAGAGCCGTCCAAGACGGTCTGGTTGCAGCCAGACGGTCTGGTCTGGTAGTGTGTGGGGGGCTTAACACACAGCGGACCAAGCAAAGGCATTCAAAATTAAACATCATAATGAAAAAATTACAGTATATTATATCGTCTAGGTCTTAACTCATAACTCATTTATTAAACCAAAATAACAAATACAAAATTTGCATTGGTCATGTCACTTAATAGAACTAAAATTAAAATAAACAATAGACAATGTTGCTTCAATACAACAATACCAATTACTTCTTACAACAACAAAAAACTAACTATCTAAACCCATCAGTGACACAATCTCGAACACTGTAGTAACCCTTGGCCAAGAGTATTTTTTTTAGCTGTTCAAGTCCGACTCCAGCTGAAGAGAGGGAGGGAGGAGATTAAAAAGTTTAATGCCATTGTCATTGTAATGAAAGTGTCTCTTGAAAAATGTAGTTGAATGAGATGGCAATTTAAGATGCTATTACCGTGCTACCTACGGTAATAGCATAGATAATTACCATAGCTTAAGGGAGTATGTTTAATCTATGGTAATAGCTACTTGCCTACACAGGGAAATTCGCTAAAATTGACTAAAATCAATCTCAAGGAATGCTGAATTTGTGTGAGAAAGTAGCTTAAGCTTTGTAATCTATGGTTAAGGATGAGATCTTTGAAGCCTTTGCCTTTTTTTAATATAAAAACTTTGAGCGGGAAACTACATGCATTTTGGAAGTCTTTGCTTGGTCCGCTATGTGTTGAGTTGAGGTTGAGTTGTTGATTTGTTATTTGTTTTGTTGACTTTACGTGAAGGTAAGGTAAGGTAACACTACTACTACTACTAATAGGCTAGAGTAATGCAGAAAAATTAAAAGTGAAATGAAAACAAAAATAGTTTTATAAAGTTTTTCGTGTATAAATCATTAGTTTTGTGTCGCCTAAAGTACTTTTAAAATGAGCGTCAGCGAGAAACAAATTGGAGAGTACATACAGTGTGAAAAAATAGGAGAAGGGACTTATGGGGTTGTTTACAAAGCCAAGGATAAACAAGGAAGACAGTTTGCTGTAAAGAAAATACGAATAGATAGGTACGTATGTTAATGATTACTTGCCAACCTTAATTTTCAGTCAACTTTATTACTGGCCCAGAGGTCAAGATAACAAAGCTAACCTTGTTATCAATGGCAACAGTTTGTTGTAAGCAAGGCTTCATTTTCTTATAACCTACCTGGGCAGAGTGGTACCTACTTAATTTTTGTAGTCTTAGGTTGATTTTAACACGGCATGACAAAGTAAAATCAAATTTTATAGTCGAGTTAGACCGTAGGCCTAAGCTTTTGGAATTGTAGCTACTTGGCTCATCAAAGAGAGACATTCATTGTCAAAACAGTGGCGGATCTAGAACAGCCACAAGGGGGAAGCGAACCAGGGGGTCTGGGGGGTTCGGGTGTACCCCCCAAAAAATTTGTGTAAACTAAGTATCCAAAATGGCAGTTTTATACCATTTCTTTGTCCAAAGTTAGTGTGACAAATTATTTTACGCAATTCGTATACACTAGGCCTACTGTATTACATGTAGTAAAAAATATATGTATATGTATGCCCGAGGGGGGGGGGCAGTCTGGATCCGCCACTGTGTCAAAATGGCAAGAAACCCAACCACTTTAGCTATGAATGGCAATGTTTCTCAATATAGGCCTATGGTGGTTTTTACTAAAACCATTCTTTAAATACTTAAGTTAGCCTAAGTTAATATCACGCATTAAGTTAACTGTAAAACTTCTGATAGCCCAAGTTTTATATCAATCATAGTTTACATATTGGTTTCCTAGACTTAACTTAGTTAGGTCTAGGCCTACTGTAGTGGCCTACTTAAGGGGAGTCGCTACTGAAAAACTACCAATTTTGTAAAAAACTTGATTTTTTTTTTTATTTTTTTATCTTGTTCTATGGATTGTAAGGTTTCAGAAAAACATAACATTTGGTATAATATATATTTTTTTCACTGTGAAAAAAATATTTGAAGTGAAGCGCGCACACCTCTTTTGGGGCATCAACTAGGCCTAGTATAAACCAACGTATAAACTTCAACCGCTGTTTTCCGCGACTTTAAAATTTTTTTTTTTTTATATATAAGTTCTTATAACTTTTTAACTATTGCAGCTATATGAATGAAATTTTTACCACACATTGTTTATACTATAAATCAACTTTCTGTGCATGGATATTGTAATTGGGTAAATAAAAGTACATGAAAAAAAATTTATAAAAATTTATAACCTATAAATTTTTTAAAAACTTATTTTTGAAGCCATAACTTATAAACTAATTGAGAAAATAACATGAGTATGCACAGAAAGTATGTGCTTTCCTTGCTCTTTAAAATAAGATATCGAACAATAAAATTGGTTCAGTAGTTAAATAGTTATAAGAGATTTAAAAAACCCCATTTTTTCCCGCCAAAAAAACTTAAAAAACTCAAAAAAGTATGTAAAAATTTTTTTTTTTTTTTACTTTAACGGCAGTAAATCTTTTTCTAAGACTAAATGAACTTAAAAAAGTATATATGATAATTTTTAAAAGGATTTTATTAAAAATCACTAGTTTCAGTAGCGACTCCCCTTAAGTCTAACCGATAAGCTAGGATCAGAAAGTTAAGTTTTTAACTAGATCAAAACCAGTTAACAGCTTGTTGCGTGAGTAAAAGACTACCGTAGCATGTGCATGTTAACAGAAGTAGGCCTACCTAGTTTTACAAACTTTTCATAAACTTAATTGTGAGCGCTTTTTCCTTGCTAATAAAACAACAAACACAGTTAGGCTAAGCATATTAGGAATATAAGTGGCAGTTAGCGGAAAGTTTAGGTACAGTCCTGATCACCATTGTTCTTAATGTTTTTTGGGTCGCTGAACACGAATATGAGGTTTGCTGACAGATATTATGCCCGGAACATTGTTTTTTTGATGAAAAAAGTCAAAATTCAGGTATTTATTTAGGTTTTTGGGCTAAATCTTGAAATGGGTTTTCTGAAAATACCCGGGTTTGTAAAATTAAAGAGCATAAAATTTACTACAAGTTTCATACATAACACTTGTTTCTACGACAAACCGTTACGTCACTAGAGCACACTAAAAATAGGTAAAAATACCAAAAATGTAAATAAACGCTAAAACGTGCCGTTTTACATTTAGTCAGAGAAATATAGGATATGACCTTAAAAAAATTGCAAGAAAACGTTTTATGGTTTTCTTTTGTAGTGTTGGGTCTGCAGAGTGACATACTAAAAGTCGCCAAAAATCGGTCCACAGGAAACCACCTAAAATCACGATAAAAAATGGCGGATTTTCCCAACATTGGTCAAGTTTGAAAAAAAGATACCACATGCATTCTTTGTTTAAAATTCTTTGAGATATTGAATTGGGACGGCCACCGATGTTTATTGGGTGGTTAGTACTTCATTTCAATAGCAAACTCATTTTTGGCCGCCATCTTGGATCCGCCATATTGGATATAAATAAAAATATGTAAAAGTAATGATAACGTTGTGACACATCATTACAAACGAGATTTTCACGCTGATGTCAATGCCGAAATCCGTTTTTAAATATCTTTTTACGTTTTGAAGATATATTCAAACAAAAACTCTTCCCCATACATTTCTTATGGACGTTTCGTACTTCCGTTGATTTTTTAAGATAATTTTTCTTACATCTGCAGTTCTCATCAACGCTTGCAGTTCAGTCTAGCCTTTAAATATTCTGTGATGTAAGGGCTTTCATTTGACCTATTGATCATTCAAATTGAACGAGTTAGAGACGAGCTACAATCCTCAAAACAATATTAAATTTAACTTTTTTTATTAAAAGATTTATATCTTGAGTTGATTTTGAATTACCTAGTAAATGTTTGGCTTTAATTTTATTAATCGCTATATAAATCACTATATAATCTTACAAATCTAAAATGAGTCGTGGACTTTCATTTAACATTAAATTATTTTTATTTATAAATTTGTCTTTAGTTTAAGACATATATACCCAATTATAAATAACAATCAATAAGTAATCTTTAGCTAAAATAAAACTCAATACTTTGACGAATTATTTAAGATCATAAAGACTTTTGGAAGTTATTTATAATTGGGGATATATGTATTTAACTAAAGACAAATTTTAAAGTTGTCAGATTTTATTAAATGATTAATCAAATTAAAGCCAATCATTAAATGAGTAATTTGAGACCACAAATAACTTAGTGACGTATTAACAATCCGAGATATAAATCTTTGAATAAAAAAAGATTTATATAAAGTTAAATACCCGAATTTAGACTTTTTTCATAAAAAAAACAATGTTTCGGGCATAATATCTGTCAGCAAACCTCATATTCGTGTTCAGCGACCCAAAAAATATAAAGAAATGGTGTGATTAGGACTGTACCTAAACTTTCCGTTAATTTTCATAAGATGCCTAGCCTAAGTGTTAAGTTAGTTGGGTGAGCTAGGTTACAGCAACAATTTACTAATCAAATTGAGTCTGACAGTCGTTCTGCCTTCTGTCCACGTATCCACACTAGCCTCTTTTGTTACTGTGTAACTTAGGCTAAGTATAGCTTTTTGTAAGGTATTTCACTTGCCCAACGTACTGTAACTTACAATACAAAACAGCTTAAACTTAGTTAAGTTTAGGCCTACATTAAGTCTTTAACTTGCATTGTGTAGTGAAAGAACTTGAAACATTTCATACATCAGTTCAAATGACAATTTCAAGAGTGATTTTTTCCTGCCTCACACAGCTATTTGGGGGAACATTTAACATGCTTAGTACAGCCGACGGCTCTTGTCCTCCCAACAACTTCTTGCAAAATGTTGACGTCACAGCCGCCGCACCTAAGTAGTCGGAGTGGGGAGAGACGTTGCTTGAACTTGCCAACCAAACCTCCCACCAAGTGGAGTAGGGAGACGGATTCCCTCAACTTTGGTAGCCTTGTTGCCCACAATTTTTATGTTATTCATTCCCACTAAATCAGCAATAGGAAGTTACATAGCCTATTTCAAATTATATTTGTACATTGGTGGGCCTACTATGACATAGACGTACATTTTAGGCGTTGAAAGAGTAAACTAACTTAGGCTATTAAAATCATAACCGTACAACCTACTTAGGCCTATACATAAAAAAACTTTTAAAGGTCCTCCAAGGCATTAAACTAATTTGAATTAATTAGCCTAAAGCTGATTCCTACTAATTAAAATTATTTTTTTTTCTTTTTTACCTATGGGTAGCCTGAAAGGAATAGGATAACCCACAGAAACACAAAAAATAGCCTAGTATGATCTAGGGGTCCTCCCGCAAAAAATCAAGGTACAAAATGGTTGATTTTTTACTTAGGCCTACATTTATGTTGCCTTTATACCACTTTTTCTTAAAAAGCTTTTAGAATTTGTACTTTTACGTTTTGACTAGGCTACATATTCTGAGAAAAATGTGGTTCACTTGGGGTATCTTTGGGGGGGGGGGGGGGGCTGAAGCCTTCCCTAGCCCATATTTTTTTTGTGTCTTAAGTTTGTGCCAGTGGCTATTTTATAATGAAGTCAATTCTAATGCTCTCAAGGGAAAGAGGTCCAAACCCATCAAAGTTTTGTGGATGTGCCAGGAATTTAACCCGTCTCTCTCGCACCAAAGTCTGAGACACTGACCATAGACTAGCAATACACTCACTTTCATGATGGGAAAGTGTTGACGTGATATTATCGAATTAAAACACATTAGCTGACAACTAACTACACGATAAAAAAAGGTCAGGTGAGTACAGTAGACTACCTCTTATCCGGACACCTTTTAACCGGACATCTGTTTAACCGGACCACACACGGCAGAAATTACATCTTTTTAAACGGACAATTTTTATCAGCTCATTGGTTTAATCGGACTAGATCGGTAGGAAGTGGGCGGTACTGAAACGAGTGTTCTCTTGGGAAAGATTTGAGACCAGTGATCACTTGTCTAAATACAATGCTCTCCTACATTTAAGTCAAATACTGTATACAGTATGCGTTTAAACAGTCTGTTTTAACAAGCTTTTGCGGACGTTGGTTTAACCGGAAAAACCATTATCCAGACTGGCCTTGCTCCAGTAAGAGGGAGTCTACTGTTGTACTCTTGTTAACCTTAACAACAAGCTTTTTTCATACCTGTAAATAAATGCTGTTTCACCCAGTGATGGAGAGGGAATACCTTCAACAGCTATAAGAGAGGTTTCATTGTTGAAAGAGCTGCGCCACTCCAACATTGTAGAACTGCACGACGTCATCGCTCAAGAAAAGAAGCTGTTCCTTGTATTTGAATTCCTCTTCATGGATCTCAAGAGATACTTAGAACAAGTTATGTTTGATTTAAGTCCTGCACTAATCAAAGTAAGTCCCTAAATTACAAGCTTCCACAAAGCTTCTAGATTAATATCATTGTCTTATGTTGATCAATCATAGATAACGAAGGCAACTCCTGTTATTAACAAGAAATTTAGATTATCAAGAGTGTAACAACAAATTACCATTCATTTGTAGTAGGTACTACAACAACTTCATCGATGTTTATTAATTTCCTAAGAAACACTGTTTTAAACTTGTTCAACCAAAATACTAGTTTTTGATACAATTACTATACCTACCTAATTGTGATGTTGTGGATTACTTTCTGAATATGTGCATTACTGTGAGACTCTTCTATTTTTCTTTACTGTTCTCTTGTGTGTTTCTTTTGGCATTACTCTACTCTACCATTCTCTTTCATCGTTTATGTTTAGAGTTACATGTATCAACTTTTAAGTGGGCTTCATTTTTGTCACACCCGTCGAGTTGCTCATAGAGATCTTAAGCCGCAAAACCTACTGCTGGACTTAAAAGGTAAGCTAAGATTTGTTTTAAAATGCACCTACTATTAGAGTACAGTACAGTTAGGACTAAAAAAATGTTGACCATATTCAAACAATTTAAAAAACAAATTAACTGAACAACAACTTTTCTAAGTTCTGTTAAGCTACTAAGTGCAGTTGGCAAACTGAGCTGAATTAGTTTAATTAGTGAATTAGTTTAAAATCTAATTCAGAAGCATATAAACTTAGAGTCACCAACCTATTAATTTTTCCGTCCCAAACATGTCTCCAATTTTCACAGGCAAAATCAAGCTGGCAGACTTTGGCCTGGCACGTGCAGTTGCTCTCCCCATCAGAACGTACACTCATGAAGTGATCACTTTGTGGTACCGAGCCCCCGAGATACTACTCGGCGCTAAACTCTACACCACGACAGTCGACATTTGGAGTCTTGGGTGCATTTTTGCTGAGATGGTAAGACTGAATTTTCTATATTTTTGTAGTTAAAAATATTTTACTCATGATGTTTATGACTGAATCAAAATTAACAGCCTTGTTCAAATTACAAAGCGCAGACTATACAACATTGATCTATGCTCTAAAGCTCCTGCAGACTCGTAGCCTTATCTTTTATTCTTCTCAATATAAACATTACTGGAACGATTTATACAGGAATGGTTTCAAGATATTAATAAAAAGTTGTTTACATATGTACTACTTTCCCCACTATCTTTTTAATTGGTTTGGAAACCTTCCCAGGAAGGGTAGCAAAACTTAAAGAGAGAGATATTGAGGAAAAAAAGAGTTAGAAGACTAGATAAGATAAGAAACAGCAACAGTGGTGTAACAGAAGGGCCCGCAATGCGGGGGGGCCCGGAAGCCGAGGGGGCCCACGAACGGGTGAGCGGGAAACGGCGAGCAGAGAGGCCTGCGAGACGAGTGGAGCCGAAAAATTGGAGTTCATTCTTAATGAAATTAATTATTAATCATTTGATAATTGTATTAAACAAGTAATAACATTAATGTTATTAATATGTTGTCATTGTTTAATTTTGTTAGGGCTATTCAGTGATAATGACCTAAGGTAACAAATTTAACATTTATGATTAAACACTCACTTTTCGAAGGACTTTAAAAGCAGAAATGTTAACAAAGAAATTTGTGAACTTTTATTAATTAAATACTATTCTGTTGCTTGCAGCTTCCCAGATGGTAGGACTATGTACGTACAGCATACATTTTGTTTTTAACATTGCCTGTAACTGCTGCATCAGCTGAAAGGTCGTTTTCGAGGTTAAAGTTGATTAAACAGTAAACACTATATCTGAAGTGCCATGTCTCAAGAAATGCTTAGGGGCGGTTCACGAGCTCGGGACTATCGTAGTCCGAGCCCAGAATCCGGAAATAACCGGTATTTGGGCCGTGACTTAAAAAATCGGGTTCACGAGCTCGAGACTATATAAGCCGCGGACCAAACTGATAGGCGGCACACAATTAGTGCAGGGATAAAACCCGGTTTTAAAAGTTGGGTTCACGAGTCCAATTACAGATAGTCCCGGTGGGTTCACGAGTCAAGTCCGAGCCTAAATGAGATGGTTCGGGCCCAAAAGAACAATGGTGTTTGGTCTCCAACTCAGACCTGGTAGGAGGCAGGTTTAAGGTGACATGATGCCGGTTTTATCTAATTAGCTCCTTTATTTTTATTATTTGTTAAAAAGTAATGTTTTAATATGGTTCCTCTTTAAATTCCGAACAATTTCGTTACCCACAACACCATATTAAAAAAATATGAAAAATGGTAAAAAGGCTCATAAAACATGAAAAAAATCATCAAACAACTTAAAACGACAGATAAATTATGCACGTAACAAAGTAGTATCTTAACAAAGATATTTTACTGATAAGCCCCATGTTATTACAATTTTAACGACAAAATTATGCGTAGAATATAAATATAACTAATCAGCCACAGTTAAACCATAGTTATCTAACATAATTATCAGAAATAGTTTTTTGCCGTGGGAAACATCAAGGAAACCGTCAGTCGTTTAGTACGGTTCTCGGTGGTATCACCGTCTTGTGTTGTACTCACTGGTCGCCGTGTGTATTGAATATGACTATGAAATATCTATACTGTATTATGTTAACAATTATGTACCATCACTCCACTACCTCGCATAGGACCAGCTCGTTATCATGACTAAAACCCTTTTATGACTTGATGAATTTAAAGATAGATTCAAATGTTCCGAAGATGCCGTCAACTCCAAGGCACGGATTTTCCGACAGCAATATCCATTACAGTATTCTAAATTGGAAAAAATGTTAGTTGCACTAATATTTTTGGCTGATGGCACTTTTCATTGAGAAACTGGTGATTTATTGGATGTTAGTAAAGCTTGGATGGTAGCTATTTGTTTGGTAATGAAAGCAGAGCAAATCAAATTTCCAGTTCAAAACTATGCCCAAAGAAAAAAAAACAATGTTTTCCTAAATATAAACGCATTGTAATGAAACTGATTTTAAAAATCGCAACAACAAAAAATGTAAATTAAAAACTATAGCTGTTAACATAAATAATATTACGAGCTAACTGCAGAATATTTTTTTCAACATTTTACAGTTAGATTATTAAAGAGTGTAAGAATAACGGAAAGAATATTCTTAGGTTACAGACACGATTAAATCCAGCACACACATACGATTTGTATATCTAATAATCATTACCTCTAAATACATTTTAGTTTCAATAATTGTACCATTTAAATAAGTTTAGTTAAAATTATCCCATCCAAATTCACCATCCTAAATTATCGGGCATTTATGCAAAATAGGCATTCATCCGGTTATAAATACCCGGTTATTTTATGTCATGCATCTTAATTAAATAGTTCGTTTGGCTCTTCTACCTGACCGATTTTCATGATTGAGGTCTCAAATTGAAGGTATGCACGCACATATTTGCCATCAAATTTCGGCATATATTTACTTAATGTATTACTCGACCAAAAAACATAATTTGAATAATTTTTTTATTCTTACTTCAATTTAAGATGTATTTCACCAGTTATAATTATATAATCCTATATATTTTGGTCTAAGAACCTTCAGTGAAATACAGGCTTTCATCAAAGTTATTAGTTATTCAAATCGGACGAGTTTTAAGCAAACGCAAGGTGAACAACCAAAATACAGTAGACTCCCTCTTATCCGGACCCCTTTTAACCGGACATCGGTTTAACCAGACTACACTCGGTGAAAATGACATCTCTTTAACCGGAAAATTTTTATCAGCACATTGGTATAACCGGACTAGATCGGCAGGAAGTGGGTGGTGCTGAAACGACTGTTCTCGTGGGAAAGATTTGAGACCAGTGATAAACGGTCTAAATACAATGCTCTCCTAAATTTAAGTTGAATATCACAGTAAACGGTCCGTTTTAACGAGTTTTTAGTGATGTCGGTTTAACCAGAAAAACCGTTATCCGGACTGGCCTTGGTCCTGAGGAGTCCGGATAAGAGGGATTCTACTGTAAACATTATTTTTAAAAAGGTTTTTCTATGATTTAAAATCAATCCCTCCAGTATTGTTTGATGTTTTTTATATGTTTAAACTCAAAATAATCGGTAATTATAGGCTTTAATTTGAGCTATTGATCGTTTGAATCAGTTAAGCTCAAGATACTGGATTACTTAATCAAATATTATAAATTTTATTATTTATCGGATATTATTTTTATTCTAACGCTGCGGAGCAGCATGGTTCCTCTAGTAATATTAATTGTGTTTGGTTAAATACAATATTTTGCTACTCTACTGACTTTGTGTGTTAGCCTATTTCTTATTTTACCTCACAAGTCATTAATGCTAAACTTAGAGGAGTGGCTTTATTTAGAGACGAATATGGAGAATGCTTATCAGCTTCTAGGACCCTAGAGCTACTAAATCAATGATGATTATGAAATCCTCCAATAGTAGAGTAGAATTGGGGAAGGTTATTTACATGGAATGAAAAACTAAACTGTGTAAATGATGTAAGTATGTACAGAAATTGTAAATAAAATAATGTTGCAGGCATCAAGGAAGGCACTATTCCCTGGGGACTCCGAGATTGATCAGCTGTTCAGGATATTCCGCACTCTTGGCACGCCAGATGAGCAGATATGGCCGGGAGTGACCAAGCTGCCGGACTACAAGCCGGTGTTCCCGCGTTGGGAGCGTCAGGACTTCTCAGACATTGCACCTGGCTTGGAGCCCGAGGCCCACGATCTGTTTGAGGTAATGGTGACACATGATTTCTTTATGAAATGATCATCTTCCTCTAAAAGGAAAGAAGTTAAGGAAACAACAATATCTGGTATCTGCCGGCAGTTGGTGGAAGTGTTCAGGACCATTGTACTTCATTATCAGTTTTGTTAATTTTTTTTTATCAGAGAAATATTTGTTGAAGACAAAACACAGTTTGATCTAGTTTATTAACTCAAAGTCTGCTGTAAATCCTGATGTATTCTAAATTTAATTAAGCATAACTGTAGGGAAAGTCTGTGATCTATTTTGTGTTTTTTCCTTCCTCACACTGTACATCACGGTGTGCTATTGCAGTCATGCTCCTGATCGTAGAAATCTTGAATTAGTTTATTTGCCGTAGACGTGGCTTCATCACAGCTGACTGTATATGTCTAGTTTCCAGGACCTCCTTGATTATATTTTTTTCAACATAAGAAGTGAGCTCTTTGTTTAGACTGTGGAATCAGACTGGAAACTATAACCGAGAATATGGAAGACTCTAGTGACAAGACAAACTGAATATCAGTTCTATAGGGACAGACCAATGACTCATTTAGTATTGCATCGGTTTACCAAGTATTGACCATAGACAAATATAATAAATATAGACTGACAGCAGTGCTGCGGTTAGCATATTTTCTGGCGTCCACCGCTAAGAGTGTGGAGATGAGGAATGACACGGCTGCAGTGTCTGCTGGTAGCATACAGCAAGGAGCCGACGACGCCTGCACATTGCAGAACCTTCCTTTAACAGTCTATATTTATTCTTTATCTATAGTCAGACTAAGTGCCAACTGTACACTCTTCACTTTTAAATGTTCTACATTAGATCTATTTTAATCTTTTTCAGAAAATGGTCATCTATGATCCACTAAAAAGGATTTCTGCCATGGAAGCTCTCCAGATGCCATACTTTAACGAGGTGGAATTAGTAAAACCTAGTCTGGACTTTAAACCAAACACAAAAAAGATTACTATTGACTCAAGTTAAGGTAAGTTAGATAATCGTTAGATAATGCGTCAGTTAAGTCTAATGTTTTGTTTTAAAATAATCACTGTCGTACATGATGAAGATAAGCCATTTATAAATAAAGGCGTCGTACATAGTGTTCCCTGTACTGAGCTGCGTTCCCTGCATCAAACACGCAATCTTGGCTTAAAAGTTTGAGTTCAGTTACATAGTGATCGATGCTCTCTCCTTGCTGTTGTCTTCTTGTCATTAGCAAATATCGTGAAAATATTTCATTTTTCTTTTTCAAATAAATTTAATTTAATGTTTTAATAGCACCTTCATATGTCTTTGCATCTTTTATGTACCGGTATCTAAAAACTTTGAAAGATAGTGAAAGTGTTGAACCAGAAAATTTTGAGGTTGTCCTGAATCTCCAACTGCAAATAAGAATGGACACACTGGTTACACACATTACAAGATTGTCTAGCGATAACAGAACTAACTGATACGAAAGATAAACTGAAAGTGTTGAATAATGTTGAAAACTTATTCCCAATCCATTAGTTATCCTCTTTTTCTTCTTGATTATTGCCTGTTTTTATTTGTAACGAATATATATATATATATGTAAGAATATATAAAGAATATATATTGTAATATATTATTAACTAAGAATTTGAGACAGTTATAATGTGCTGTGTTTACCAAATTTTGCTGTTTGCAATTCAATTATTTAATGAATATTTATCTTTTCAGATGCTGGAAATATACCAAAGAAGATTAGATTAGTTTAATTTGTAATTGCACTCAGTTGTGTAACCAATACTTAGGTATTTTGGGATTTTAAGACTGGGACAATTACTAGGGACCATACTACAAAAAAATATATATAATTTACTTGTTAGGTTAAAATGTTTTTTAGTCAAACTTTTATTTCCAGTGAAGACAATTAACACACATTTAGTTTCTCAGTGGTTCAATGTTAATAAGAATGTGATTTTATCTTTATGTAGTAATTAGTTTTGTTTTCTGACATGACCAGTGCCATTCAGGGTACATTGTACCATAGTTGTGTTAGTTAAGTTTAATGTGGAGATGTTTTGATGTGTATTGTGTAAACAAATTTGTTAACTCTTGAGGAGTCTCTAATACATATTTTTTATAGTAATGCTTTTGCTTATTTTTCACCTTTTATGTGAAATGCCAGCCAAGAAGAACACCAACTAAAAAAACTTTAGAGAAGCTTATTGCCTACATCTTCATTGATAATTCTGGTACTTCCTTTATGTCATTGGCTATCAGCATGAAGGACAGATGATCACGGATTTATCTTTGAGGCACACTTTGAATGCAAAACTCTATACATGCAGCCTATCTTAGTAAATTCCGGGAAAACGCTATGGCCTATAATTTCTGCACCAATGAATTTGATCAACACAATTAAATTCGTAGGAAAATCAGATAGCTAGAATCAGATCTAGTTAGAATTGTTCCCTGTCAAAGCTCCATATCCAGCCACCAGGTAGCCCAAGTTCACTCAGTATGAAAAACAGGAGATGAGGATTAAAAGCTCAAATAATAACCCTATATAAAATATTTATTATTTTAAATTACATGAACCATCAGCTTATCAAATTAGTAGGGCAAATCTAACCTGAAAATATATCCACTTAGTTTGAAGTAAAAGAACATGAACAACACAAATTCTCACAAAAAAGTATACCGTAGCTCGAAAAATATATTTATATCAAACAATGCACAAAGTATGTTTTATAGAAATATATTTTTCTATTTTAAGAATTTGTGAATTGCAGACCTTTTTCATACAGCAACAGACTGGACTAATAATATGTTGAGATGATAAGGAGTCATCACAATTTCAAACACTATTTTATATCACAACACAAAGCACAAAGTGTTTTGAAAAATTAAGTCTCTAGAGTATTAGTATGTATACAAAATATAAAGGTTTTCTTAATCTATAATATCTTATAAATTCTATCAGTCAGTAATAAAACTATACATACAGTTTTAATTGTTTCAAGGAATAGTTTATTAGGTCAACTTGGCCATTTAGTAACACTTGATTTTAAAAAGAAATCATGTTGAAAATTAGAAAATTGAGCAGTAGTTACAATATAAATGCAAAAGGCCTAAAAAGTAAAGCTCTAGCCTTTGTCATGAATAACCACTTTAAAAATAAAGATAAGATACCTAAACACTAAATACTTTTCTAATGAAGAAAGATTAGTTAAATGCCAATCTAATGACTGTTACAACATGACAAATGTTTGTTTTTAAATGATTCATTCTCAAGAGGCAATATAGTAGGGTTATGATTCATTTCCTGCAGTGATTATTTTAGTCCATTATTCATTTCCTGCAGTAGTACTTAACAGTGCTAGCTATCTTATTACTGAGAAACTCCTCCTGCATCTACAATCTACAAGAAATTAGCTTAAGAATGGACTAGATGTATTTTACTTTAAATCTGCCAAATACAGTTATACTGTAACATTTCTTAATAAATTTGACCAGGGTATTTATTATTAAAATAATTTTAGAACTAGAGCCTAATTTATAAAAAAGTAGATTTTCAAAAAGTCTTGAAAAACATACAATTGATTATATTGCGAGAAAACTTTTTTAATATCTTAACGAATTGCAGCAGACCTGCTGGGTTGAAAAATATTGTACCTGTACAATTTTTAAAGTTGAGATCCGATTATTTTGACTGAAAGATAGTCATTCACACAATACTTACTCTAGAAATTATAGCTACACAATATAATAAACTGTTGCATTACACAATGATACATCAAAGCAAAAACTGATCCTCCAGGAACTTGCTGAAACGCACACAAAGAATAAATATAGTTGAATTGATAGATAAGTTGCGACATCTACGCCAACCGCATAATACGCAAGATTCTGAGGAACAGAGAGATGATATCCAAGTAGAGACTGAGAGCAGCAAACACGTACTCCTCGGGGGAAATAACAAGCTTGTGTTTACCTCCCACAATAAGTTGAGTGTCGTGGATCAACAACAGAGAGTAGACAAACGCTCCGAACCCGGCGATGATGAGTTGAGTCGTGCGATCATATGGAACGAACAGCGAACCAATGCCGACAGTGACCAGAATCATCAACAGGACAAACATAGTTCCGTGGCACATGGTGAAGTCAATCTTGGTCTGCCAAGCGAAGATCGTGAGGCTGATAGTCACAATAGTGCAAATACCCAGTGCCCAGTACACCTGCCGAGAAGAACATAACTTAAAACATTTGATAACTAACTAATTAACTAAACCTTTTTATAGATAGTCCTCATTATATGTGATCCCGATTTGCACAGTTTTGAATGAATGCGAATCGTAGTTTCATAATTGTACATTAGGATTTTGATGATCTAAAGGTAGGTTAGTTGAAGCATAAAGGGCAAATAACATAAAAATCTATAAAAATCCAATATAAATCTAATATAAATAATATATTACCAAGATACTATTATTTCATAATGCTCGCTGTTAATAAGAACATATATTGGAATAATAGTTATATAATTTGATCGTTTAAAAAGATCAGAACAGAATACGTTAAAAAAATAGTAGTGCAGCTGAGTAATTTATTAGCAAGGTGACATTTCAGTAATGGTAATATTTCGTATCCTATTACGTTAAATAACAGCCATCTGTAATTCATACTAAGATGTAAGGGGTAGAAGAGAAGAATGCAGGAATGAGTAGTTGATGAACGGTGAGTTATGCAGCACACTAAATAAGAAAGAGTAGGTGCTGAAAGAGTGTCAAGTGTCTTTTGTAGGTAGGGAATGGGATGGTCTCCAAGTACTGAGGGCTCTCCCAATATGGTGTACTCTGTACAGTCATACCACACGGACACAGCATGCCATTTCATGGTACTCAATCCCACATCATCATGGTTGGTGGTTTATGGTAGGGTCGGGCAACTAAAGTTCATATGATTGAGACTCTATGCAAGTAAAATTCAGCATTTTGTTAACAAAATATTTTAAGACTGTTGGTTTCATCAAAATAATAGCTATATTTTCAAGATTAACCTGTTAGATGAGGTTTCAAGAATAATGATTTTCTGCCGATCGCAGTAGCCTATAAACAGACCTGTTTTAGGAAGTTTTGCACTGTGAGGAATGAATCACAAGGATTAGCCTACCAGTAAAAATGTTATGAAACAGTAACAGAGCTAAGACTAATAGGCTAGTCTATTTACTTCTTCTAAGTGGCCTTATAATATGTATAGCCAAATCAGTTGGTTTGGAAACCATGAAACCAACCTCCTCTTTCTGGGAAGCAGCACACACAACTCCAAGAAGAAAACTAAAGGACAATGTGAAAACTCCAAGGAAGATGATGTTGGCAGGAGCACGTCGCCGAGCGTTGGTGGAGCATAACAATATGATAATAGTGACGATGGCGATAATAGCTCCGGCCAAAACACTGAAACACAATCACTTTGTTGGTCGGTTTTAAAATACTAGACAATGTAACAGAGAAGGGTAAAACATAATTACATTAGTAATCATAAACTTTTAAAGGACGAAACAATTGTATTACAATTGCATTAGGACCATTAAAGTCACGTGGCTTGGCTATATAAATTCAAGATAAACCTTTGTAAAACCAAGCTAGACATATCTAGTTAGGAACTCCAAATCATTGTATGGTACATAAATTTAATGTGAAGGCATCAAAAGTGGTCTATTCTTTCTATTATCATGTTAATCCACATAAAAGTTTGATCCCCAGTCAGTCACTGATAGGTGGCTAATGTATATAAATATTTGTAAATTTGGCATGTGGTTCAAAGTTTTGACAATTTATGTGTAATAATAATATCTCTGGTTCTTACCAAAGAACGCAATCAGGGGTAATATTCCACTACGGCCGTTTCGGAGATGACTCCATCGAGTCGGTCGTTAGTTTTCAAGTCGTGCACACGCTCTAAATGTTTTTGTGTTTTCGTGTGTCCGTCCTGTGCTTATATGTGTATTATTTATTCAACCCCTGACGCAATGCAAATGAAGAAAGTTCGTGTTAAATGTGACAAGACTATAGTTTAGTGTACCACTACGCTCCTGACGATGGAGTCATCTCCGAAACGGCCGTAGTGGAATATTACCCCTGATTGTGTTGACGGTAAGAACCACAGATATTATTATTATATTTTCATGTAATCTGCTACACTCAAGAATATACTTTATGTGTGTCGAGACCAGGGTTGCCACCCATCCCGATTTGGTCTAGGCAGTCCCGAGTTCGGACCCCTTTTGCCAACGTTTATGTATGTGCTTACCCTGGGGGAGGGGCCCCCCCGATTTTCGCCTGACTAATAAGTGACAACCCTGGTCAAATTGTGCCAGCTTGTTAAAGGGTTAGTTTTAGATTTTATGAAACAATTTGAAATGCATCTAGATCATATCTATAAGTATAAAAGAGGATGTTTGTATATATATTTGTTTGTTTGTTTGTTTGTTTGTTTGGCAGTGATAAACTCAGACACCGCTGAACCGATTGCCACGAAACTTGGTACATACATGTAGAATGTCATGGAATAGGTTTATACACCATCAATTTCGTGATCCGTCCAATCGGCTCCGCCCCAGTTGCTCTGGAGATTCCCATGTTAACCTTATGAGAAATGGAATTAATGAATCTTAACAGCTGTTTCAATTAAACAAGTTGGTTCTGTTCTATGATGTTCAATAGCATTAAAGTTACAAGGATTACCAACAGGGTGCAGCACTATTATTTTGATTGTGATTCCTACTATATCGGACAGACTGGTAGATGTTTTAAGACCAGATATAAAGAACATATAAGTGCTATCAAGAAACCAAATCCTGTCTCAAATTATGCAGAACACATCCAACAGTATTGCCACGACTACTCTGAAATTAATAGTTTAGAAATACTCCACATTGGTAGCAAAGGTCACAAACTTAATTGTATTGAAAATTTCCACATTTACACCAGTACAGCTAAAGAACCGAACTTAATAATTAATTCCCAGACTAATTCAGCAGCCAATCCAATTTTTGAGACCATTGCAGTGATAAAGTTCGATCAGTCGGTCGTCAGTTTTTAGCCGTGCACGTGCCTTAATGTTTTCGTGTCGTGTTCGTGTTTT